AAGTACAAACAAAAGGGGAACTTGTTCATAAAACAAAGGAACAATCTTGCACATTTACATTAACATAGTCACAAAACATGACTTGATCTAGAACCTCCTCGTGAGGCGCAAAAGGTGGCTGACTAACACAAAAATACCCTAGACATTAACTTAAGCCTGGTCACGCACCTGCTCACCTACATACATAATAAATAACTAGTGAACGGAGGCCCAGTGAATAATAACAAAGTAAAAAGGTATATGAATGATGTCCCATAGTCGTAGCTAAAATAAAACAATTCACATTCATATTTTCGTCTGAGCATGTATACAAAAGTCAAAGTTCATACTTAATCTTGCATATTACATCCATTAGTGCTATAGATCACACACAGAGTGACTTAAATCATACTTGTCCGTTCTATAGAAGAACCTCCGGCCGGGTAAGGTTAACTTGTCAGTCCCATATAGGAACCTCCAAATTGGGAACTTGTAAACTTGTCAGTTCCACTTAGGAACCTCCAGCTGGGTACAGATAGCTTGTCAGTTCTGTCACACCCCGACATTTTGATTAATCGGAAACATTACCAAGCCTGTAATTTAGGTCCATTTTTTTATTTTATATATATATATATATATATATTACCCTCGAGTAATAGAAATACAATAATACATGTTCTCTCTCTCATTGAAAACAACAATGCAATAATACATGCCAAGCTTCGGCTGCAAAGCTACAAATAAATAATTACAAACAACATGATACATTTTTCATTCCTTTAACATCTATGCTAAAATTATACACATAAGGTACATGGAATCCATACTCTTCAACTAATGAATCCGAAATTCTCTTCCTGAAAAAGAATAAAACAATGAGGGGTGAGCACTAATGCCGAGTAGGAATCTCATACGTCTACAACAATAGCTAACACATAGATAGAAATGATCATGCATGCAGAGTGATACCATATAGTAAGGTGACACTTTGTAAGTTCAAAATATTATACAAAAACTATCTTTTCTTAATATTTCACTTGAACCTTTAAGAAAACTCTCTACCATAAATGTAGTCTCTCATCATTAGAAAGCCTTAGATTCTCTTTGAAAACAAGTACACTTAAGAAAGAACATCATCTTAAATTTATGAATCCAATTAAAAATTATTCCTCATTTCGTTTCCATTTTAATATTCCATATTTTATTTTCGTTCTAATATTACATATTTCATTTCCATTTCCAATTACCATACTCCATAACATCAAAATCCAAAGGATTAGAGTTCAACATAACATAAGAATCACAAACCCTATTTTAATTCAATTTCCCAATTACTTACAAAACAAAACTCATAATCTTCCCTTTTGTCACAAGCAATCCATTGAGTTTATCATCACAAGACCCTAATCCAATTACCCACATGATGCCAATTTCAATCCTTAATCCATTTTCCTTCAATTCATTTATTTTTCTCAATTCATGAGTCAATTTCATTATTTCAGAACAACCAAACTGAAACTACAACTCAGTGGTTTTCCTATTCATACAAAATACCCATAAACACTTCAAACTGCCATTTTACGAAAATTTCGTCTGCGGGATTGGCAGCCATGTATAAATTTCGGGACTTTCACCTAGGACACTCCGGCCAACTTAGTTATAATGGAGTCCATCCCCTTTCTCCTCCCAAACAAACATACATATATAATGTATTTAATCACATAATCACACATGGAGTACATCCTCTTTCTCCTTCTAAACAATCATACATATACAATGTATTAAAACACACAGTCATATTGAATGACAACCATTTCTCAGACTTATCATATTATTGACTCTTTTCAGTTGGCACAATACATGTGATCCAAAACATGATTTTCAAAATGAAACAAGTGCTCTTAAAATATAACACAAGAATTTCCAAAATCCCTTTCCAAAACATATAGTTTAAATCCTCAAAATCCATTGCATGCTCCATGATATGCATGATTTATAAATAGTCCAATTTGCCTAGTCAACATGCAATTTCTACAACAATCATAGCTATCCTCCACCGATAGCCCAAAACAAATATATCTAAATAGATAAATAAATTTCTTTAACGATACGCTTTTTCGAAAATCTCATATGGGAGTGATAATGCATATCAAGCTCCACCATCATCATTAAAATCCTCTGATTTCACATTTACAATGACAATTTCAATTATTTATACAAAATAACAATTTGATCCAATTAGGGCAAAACTCCCCTTCTTTTTTTTTTCCAAATATCAACCCAAACTCAATACAACCCAACACAACTCAACTTAATTCAACACAATTCAACATAGTCAACACAATTCAACATAATCAATACTATTCAACATGATTCAATTCAACACCACTAAATGTGATTCAACATAATTCAAGGTGGACTCTTAAATCCCCATTTCATCTTTTCATCCCAAGTCTCATGCGATCCATATCATTAACAAATCTTTTTTCCCAAATTTCATTTTATATTTGTGGGGAAGTGGTTTGGAAATACTCTTCAGATCTTGGGAGACGTTAGTGATCCTCAGCTAGTCACCTGAAAAGATACAAGCACTCCGGTCGGGGCTGCCGGAATTAGCACTCCAATGGACAAGTTAGTTCAAACGCTCAGGATAGCCTATTTACCAATTTTTTGAAGTGATTCTTACATACCTTTCTATAACCGTTGTTCCTGTATTTATACATGTTCTTAATCCTCGAGGCCAGGGCCTACTTTTTAATCATTATCCTTTCCTTTATTCGGCCCTAAGTACTTATACTTTATTCAGCACATATATTCTGTTCGGCTCCCCGCTCTCGTAGGATATAGCAGATTAATATCAGTCTTTCAAAGATACACACCATCTGATCTTTCCATTATTCGGCCCCCACAATTGCCCCCCGAACTCCCCATTAACGGAAGTTAATCGGCGTGTTTGGTCTTGAATTGGAAAGGTTAAAATAGGTCAGGCGGCTTTGCGTACCCCAATATAGATGTCAGGATGCGCACACCTTTTCGTTCATCATTACGCTTTCCCGCCTTAACCTTGCGTCTCGCATTTATTGTGATTTGAAATTTCAATCCTTTCGAATGGACAGTTCGTCAAGTATTCGAGACTCTTGGACCACCAGCAAATATCCCTTCTCTGACTCGCATTCTCTGTAACTCTTCTCCGTCTACCCTCGTCTCCCTTGTTCCTCGTAAGTCTTTTTCTCTTTTCTTTACAATCTTACTTTTTGTTTATCACTTTCATTTTGGTGAACCCTTTATTCCCCGTGAAAATGGCCAAACACTTGAAAGACCTCCTTTCTGAGGGTCGTGTCTCCGGATTCCGGCGACACTTTTCCATCCCCGATGATGTTCATCTATCTTTAGTGACGGACAACAGTCTGGATATGGAGAGAGAGGATCAAAATTCAATCGTCTTTCCTCTCCTATCCATTGCACAGGGCGGGGTCCGCTTTCCCCTACATCCATTCCTTAGGGCCGTTCTCCGCTATTGGGGTCTAATTCCTTCTCAGCCCAACGTGAACTTTTTTCGGATCGTAATGGGGATCGTAGAGTTAAACCGGCGCCTCAGGATCGACCTTGGGGTTTTGGCCATTCGGCACTGCTACGCTTTAGCCAAATCCTCCGATCGGCTTGGGCGGTACTTTTTTAGGGCTAAGGATACTGACCATCATTTGGTAACCATGCTCGCCAGTTCTAACAAGCATGTGGATGACGTAATGGTCAATATCCGAGGGAATTGGAAATTTGGCGAAGGCAAGGATCGCCTAGACCCTATTCCCAGACGGAGGGGTGAACCAGGTTGTGCCTCCTTGTGTTTTACTGAATTTTTCTTTTACTCGGCTTTCCCCGTGTCTAACCCCTTGCCTTTGCAGGCAGTAATTTGAAGAAGATTCTGGTTTCTGCAGACGACGCGGTCCTTTCACAGGTTGCGACTGCACTCGGATACTTCGGCCGTCCGAACTTATAGAAACAAGGGAGAACGGCCCACATACTTCTTTGATACGAGCCTACTTACACTACTTTTTCGGCCGCTGACAATATTCCAATTCCATCCGGCGATCGATAGCTTGCGGCTCTTATTTTCCCTAGCTTCAAGAGTCTCAGACAAGTTGGTCTCGAGGCCTCTAACTCGGAGCAAGACGTCGAGCCGGTGGTAGAGGTAGTCGCCGAACCAGACAGAGAGTTCGCTGAGAAGGCCGAAGAGGTTGACGAGGCCCTAAACTCGGCATTTGAGGCAGCGAGACGTAGTCAGCCTACCTCGCCGTCCACTTCGGGTCGGGCCAAGTTTTCTTTTGGAGATATTTTTGGAGGTTTGGGAGATTTACCCGGTGATTTTTTTGAAGGTATGGCTGGGGAAAGCCTCACGCAGATGGCTCGAAAGAAAAATGCCGAGCGTATGGCCGCCTGAAAAAAGGCCGAGGCCGCCCGTTCTGGACCTGCCTTGGTTGAGTCTTCTGAACCCGTTATTGAAGAGCCAGCTAAGATTGTTGAGGCCGAAAAGGCAAAAGAGGTCGAACAACCGATCATTGATGAATGGTTGATTCCGGAGGAGCGGGGCAAGAAACGTAGCGCCGAGGGAGAGGCCGGTTCAGAAGATAGTCTTGCTGACAAAAGGCCTGGACAAGAAGCGTAGCGCCAAGGGAGAGGCCGGTTCAAAAGATAGTCTTGCCGACAAAAGGCCTTGCTTAGAAGAATCGGACGTGGTTGTTCCTTTTATTGTTCAGCCAAAGATTAGAGACACGCCGATTCCTTCTGATGCATCCATCATTACCAACCCGGTGGTAGCCTTGAGCCTGGCAGCGTCAGTCTCCCTACCAGCTGATAAGGCGTCCTTTCATGCCGTGCCGAATTTGGTGGCCATAGCTTTATCTGCATAGTCGGCCCTTTTGGTAGGTGAACTTTGACTTGTTTTGATTTTGGTTGCCTATGGCATCTAACGATCGTAACTCATAGCTTACTTTCTAAGTCTTTGTGAAGTGATTATTACATACCTTTCTATAACCGTTGTTCCTGTATTTATACATGTAGTCGGAAGTGGTCGATCAAAAGAGCAGGGCCGAGTTTGAGATGATGAGGGCCGCTATGGAGACTGCGCGAGCCGAAACCGAAGTGGAAAGGGCTCGGGCTGTCGATCAGCACCGCTCTGAAGCCGAAGATAGGGCGAACGTGAGCAAAGAATCACTTAGGCTAGCCGAGGAGGCGCTTACCAGGATGGAGATTGAATTAGCAGAGTTGAAAGTGGCCAAGGAAAAGGCAGAATCTGAGGCTTCTGCCGCATTCGAAGCAAGAAAATGTGCCGCCTTCAAAGAATACATAGATGAAGTCCCCAGGTTTGAGAATCGGGGTTCAAACACGAGTGGCTCAAGGCCCTTGGTGCCGCTGGGGTTACATTGGCCTTGCCAATTCCTTATGAGCAGGTGGACGTTGAGCCACTTGAGTCTGACCCTGAGGATTGATCTGGGAGTCAGTCAAATTTTATGAAATACTTTCCCTTTTAATGTATGTTTTTGTTTTTAGGACTTTTGTTGGTTCCGAGTAGTTTTCATGTATGAATTGGCTATTGTCTGCGCTCAATTTATTAATGAAAATTATCTTCTTGTGTCACTACTAATGCGCAGTTTGTGATGTTATGTTGGTGTAGAATGTTTGCCTTTCACTACTTTAGTTAAAATGACTACTCTATTGACCTTTCTATGATTGAATATCATGATTAATCTACCCTTGCCCCAAGCGGTGCATGATCATTCATGCACCTGAGGAGGCAAACTTAGTTTTGTTGTCAATTCATGGGTCGGCTGGGGCACTTAAGCCGAATGTATTGATAAATCTATCACGCCCTTGCCACAGGCGGGGCATGATCATTCTGAAGTCGATTCGTGAGCCGGCTGGGATACCTAGGCCGAATAGATTCCTTGCCCCAGGCGGGGCATGATCATTCTGAAGTCGATTCGTGAGCCGACTAGGGTACCTAAGCCGAATATATTCCTTGCCCTAGGCGGGGCATGATCATTCTGAAGTCGATTCATGGGTCGGCTGGGGCACTTAAGCCGAATGTATTGATAAATCTATCTCGTCATTGCCCCAGGCGGTGCATGATCATTCTGAAGTCGATTCGTGAGCCGGCTGGAGTACCTAAGCCGAATAGATTGATTAATCTATCACGCCCTTGCCCCAGGCTAGGCATAATCATTCGGGCGCCGGTGAGTCTATCCAGTCGACGCTGGGTGATTGAGGTTTTCATAATTAATGAAATTGCCTCAAAGGTGCTGCCTCTGTGAAGGATAAATGATTATGGGTACAACTTTTATGAATACAGTAAACAACTGACTCCAGCTTTTGAAGGAATCGTGTGAATGTCGAACAGACTTTTCTTTAACAGCAGAGGGGAAGTGAAGACGCTAGTTGAGCTGAGTGGGGACATGCATCGAGGTGGTGACCCTTCGCGCACCGGGGGTAGGAGTTCCAGGGATCGAGAGAGGCGTCAATCTCCTCGACATCGAAGCAGGTCGCCCAGGCAGGACAAGCAGTCGCAGGGCAGGTCTTCTCAACCTCGAGTTAAGAAGGAATCTGACTCGAATCCGTGCCCATTAAGCTTTGTGGTGTTTGTGGAGAATAGACCCATGACAGAGGCGGATTTGATCGTACGAGACCCAAATGTAGTGGTCGAGTTTGCTTGACAAATTTTTTCTCCTGAGGTTCAGCAATCGATGGTAGGTCGTCAGGACTACGAAGTATTTCGCAAAGGCATTCATGGGGCAATGAAGGGGCTTTACACTGCCTATGAAATCGGCATGCAGTTGCGCGCTGCCTGCCGAGAGATGGAGAAGAAAGAGGAACGTATTCGAAGTTTGAAGGCTCGCGCGGAGGCGACTGAGCACGAGTTACCGAAGACCAAGGCGGCCCAGGCACAAACCGCCGGGCACGGAAACCCAATCGTAGAAGAAAGCGTTACCAGTCGGCTCATCAGTTCCGCGCTTGCCGATCGTGAGACGGCGAGTATGTTCGCATGGAGAACGCGAAGGGGAGGGCCTATGAGAAAGGCTTCATGACGGCCGAAAAGTTGGAATCGAAAAGACAAAGAAAAAACTTGTCGAAGAAGTTTGCCGATGTGAAAATCGTGGATTTAGGCACGGTTGGATCATGGCATCTCAAGCCGTAGAAGCTCTTCGAGCGTCGGCCATTGATTCGGCATCGTAATTCTACCACAGTAAACATTTTCCGTTTTCTTCTTTTGAAGTCGAGAAGAGTGAGGATGAGGGTGACGCCGTATAAGTGTACTTGTTGTAAGGTTGAAATGCAGATCGCGTTGAAAACTATGTAATATATTGCTTGTTTTATAGAATAAAAAGCGTTCTATGATAAATATTTTGTTGCAGTTCATATTTGGTATGTATGTGTTTCATTTCTGTATATGTTTGAATGAATGTATAAACGTTGATCGGCAAGGTCGACCCATACGTGATAGTCGTTTATCCCTGAATGAGGCTATTGTAACTTGAGGAAGCCAAAAGCCAGTGGGTAAGGTGGCTGCGGAAAATTCAACTCAACTCGGGGCCTAGATTTTCGGACGGTGCACATACTTCAAAAAGTCGTTTGGATAACTATGCCGTGGCGAATGTCAACCGACGTTTTTCTCATGGAGTTTAGAGTTAGTGAATTGCCTCGGGATTGGGGCCTCGAGATCACTGCCAGTATTGAAAATAAAAGGAGTGGGCGCTTCATGCAGATAAACAATCACTCATATGTGGTGGGATAAGTGGGGATGTTATTTAGAGAGACTGGAGTTCAGCCAATCTTGGTGTTACCATGGAGCGCGGCAAAGGACCCATCTGTATGGGAAGTAGGGCGTCCAAACGTTGGCATGAATCTTTGAGTCGTCGAAGCAGATCACCCCGAAAGGAAAGACAACGACCGTCAGGTTTTTATCTTTCCTTGTCCTACATCTTTGCCTTGACATTGTTAATGGTATCAGTGGAGAACTTGGGCACAGTTGGCTCAAGGCATTGCAAACCGCAGAGGACTTCCGAGTGACGGGAGGTGATTCAGCGCTGCCGCTTTACTAATGCGTCTTCTCCTTTTTTTAGCTTTTAAGTTTGGAGATGGCTATTGTAATGCTCAAATGCAAGTTGCGTTTATGTAACAACTGTGTGATTAAATAAAAATTGTAACGCCCAAATGCGGGTTGCGTTTATGTAACAACTGCTTGATTGAACTAAAAGCTTTATTTTGAACATTTGCTTCTTATTCTAAATTTTTTATATGCTTAGTTAAGCACCTTATTTGCGATGTTGGTGAGTTTTGTTTTGTTCGTGCCAAAGGTTGCTCCGAAGCCGGAGACTTAGTTTGGCCAATCGTAATATCCACGAAGGGCGCTCCGAATCCAGAGCCTTTAATCGACCCTAAGGTGTTATGCACCAAAAAGGGCTCCGAATCCAGAGACTTTGTTTGGCCAATCGTGATATCCACGAAGGGCGCTCCGAATCCGGAGACTTAGTCGGCCCTAAGGTGTCATGCAGCAAAGGGGGCTCCGAATCTAGAGACTTTAATCGGACCTAAGGTGTTATGCACCAAAGGGGGCTCCAAATCTGGAGACTTTGATCGGCCCTAAGGTGTTATGCACCAAAGGGGGCTCCGAATCCGGAGACTTTGTTTGGCCAATCGTGATATCCATGAAGGGTGCTCCGAATCCGGAGACTTAGTCAGCCCTATGGTGTCAGCACCAAAGAGGGCTTCGAATCCAAAAAGTTTAATCAACCCTAAGGTGTTATGCACCAAAGGGGACTCCGAATCTGGAGACTTTGTTTGGCCAATCGTGATATCCACGAAGGGCGCTCCGAATCCGGAGACTTAGTCAGCCCTAAGGTGTCATGCAGCAAAGGGGGCTCCGAATCCGGAGACTTTAATCGGCCCTAAGGTGTTATGCACCAAAGGGGGCTCCGAATCCGGAGACTTTGATAGGCCCTAAGGTGTTATGCACCAAAAAGGACTTCGAATCCAGAGCCTTAATTGGCCAATCGTGATATCCACGAAGAGTGCTCCGAATTCGGAGTCTTAGTCGACCCTAAGGTGTCATGCACCAAAGGGGGCTCCGAATCTGGAGACTTTGTTTGGCCAATCGTGATATCCACGAAAGGTGCTCTGAATCTGGAGTCTTAGTCGGCCCTAAGGTGTCATGCACCAAAGGGGGCTCCGAATCCGGAGACTTTGTTTGGCCAATCATGATATCCACGAAGGGCGCTCCAAATCTGGAGACTTAGTCGGCCCTAAGGTGTCATGCACCAAAGAGGGCTCCGAATCCAGAGACTTTGTTTGGCCAATCGTGATATCCACGAAGGGCGCTCCGAATCCAGAGACTTAGTCGGCCCTAAGGTGTCATGCACCAAAGGGGGCTCTGAATCCGGAGACTTTGATCGGCCCTAAGGTGTTATGCACCAAAGGGGGCTTTGAATCCGGAGACTTTAACCGGCCCTAAGGTGTTATGCACCAAAGGGGGCTCCGAATCCGAAGACTTTGTTTGGCCAATCGTGATATCACGAAGGGCGCTCCGAATCTGGAGACTTAATCGGTCCTAAGGTGTCATGCACCAAAGGAGGCTCCAAATCCAGAGACTTTGTTTGGCCAATCGTGATATCCACGAAGGGCGCTCCGAATCCGGAGACTTAATCGGCCCTAAGGTGTCATGTACCAAAGGGGGCTCCGAATCCAGAGACTTTGTTTGGCCAATCATGATATCCACGAAGGGCGCTCCGAATCTGGAGACTTAATCGGCCCTAAGGTGTCATGCACCAAAGGGGGCTCCGAATCCGGAGACTTTGTTTGGCCAATCGTGATATCCACGAAGGGCGCTTCGAATCCGGAGACTTAGTCGGCCCCAAGGTGTCATGCACCAAAGGGGGCTCCAAATCCGGAGACTTTGAGCGATGAATAGAGCCACGAAGAAAAATGGTTTACATTGCAGAAGTGATACATATACAAGTATCAAAGCCCACAGATCGAGTCAGTGATAGGGTTTTCATTAAGTCTC